ATTGACTTTGCCCATGAGAACTGAATGAGCCTGTAGATAGTTGGTAAACAATGGATAATTAGGATAATATATGGGAATTAGGTATGCGTTGCTGTAAAGGACACGGGCAGGGGATTTAGAGCAGTGATAATCTTTCATATATAGTCACTCTATGTAGCATATCCTTTTGGTTTACTGACCGGTGCTGCAATGTTGGCAATTTCTCATATTAATAAATCACAGTCTCTTACATATAATTTCTTGTGTATTGCATGCTCACACTTTATCTTTGTGTACTTTATATCCAGGCATAACCCTCTAGATACATAGTATCAATAGCTGCTGACATTCACAACTGAAAAAATGATCAGGTTACATCCCTGTCATTACTAATAAAATATAGTGCAACGCTACAGCACCTAACAAATTGCACATACAGTGTAAAAGCCCGGGGAGCATGTTGGTTAACACTTTATGTAGCAAAAACAAACAACAAATACCAGCCTGGATTGACTTGAAAAGAAAAACAAACGATTAATTCCTTATTCCCTGCATCTGAACCATAGCTCTGAACACACAGTTTACTGAGCTGACATTACAGCTCGCCCAAATAGTTTCAGAGAAGGGCTTAAAATCGATGTGCAATTAGGGGTGTCTTGTATCAGGCATGATGAATTATGCTCTCTGTTCTAAGGCTGGTCTATAGACACTTGATCAATTTAGCTTCTAGGGACCTGCTAAGGCAGGCCGGGGAGAAATTGCTCTATTCCAAAGCCATTCAGTCGAATGTATTGATTAACCATTGCACTCTGTATTGAAGGTGTGTTCAGGATCTGTTCTACGTAGCAAGGGTGTTGTAGGAGAGGCGGGCCCGAGCCTGCTGCCACACATAAAACAAAGACAGAGGTACATTCAAACCTGCACTTCTCCTGCTATTCTACAGTCTCACCTTTAAAGCACCATAATTATTTTACTGTTTCACTAGAACAGTTCAGGAACAAATTGCAGTATCTGTCCTTACACCCTAAAGAGCTTAATTACCTGACTCCTCTCAGCGAAGGCACAGTGATCCGAAACTGTTCAATGTATTTCAAAGTGTTTTACAATCCCTGCTCCTAAAGTCCATGTCATGACACTGCACTGCACAGCAAAAAAGTGTCATTCATTTAACTATATAAATCCACCTTCTTTTCTCGCCATCTCATGTGTAAAAACCCATTAATTAAATCTCTCCATAAACAAAAACATGTGCCGTAAACTGGCAATAGGTGCCGCTTTTGTGAGCTCCAAGCCACAGTTTCATGGCACCTTGTTAACAAAGATTCTGTAAACAGATTATCATAACCTTCAGCTGCAGGAGCCAATCAACATTTTCTCATCAGGGTGCGCCGAATGTAATTAGGGGCCGAGCAAACGTCTTGTTTATATCACTGTAAACTCACTGAACCCCAGATGGGGTGTTATTTATACACTTGAAGTAGGCCAGACTGTGTTTGTGATCAAGGCTATGTTAATGCTATTCATATTACATAGTGCAACCATAAATAGTGTGTGGTACTCCTTCCCCTGGGAAAGACCACAGTGCTCAAGTTTGGAAAGGCAATATGAGCGGCTGTCTGTCTTCTCCCCCTAAATGGAGAGTTCACTGTCTGGTTAGTGTCATCCCATCTCCCTCTGGCTCTCAGCTTTTGGATTTGCATTGTCAGGGTATCCTCCCACAGGCCCGTCGGAGCGGGTGCTCTCTCAACAGCATCCCCATCTACCCTCAAATTGTGCACCCTGGGGATAACTGCTGCCTTCTTGCCCACACCCTCTCCAGTCCTCTCTGACACCAGAAGCGTGACTCATTTACATACATCATGACTCATGAAAAAACATGTTCTTTTGCTGCTTGTTTGTATAAAATGCCCACATTCTGTTTATCACCACTACGACTTCAAGTCATACCGCCCTCCCATCCATTTGGACCCTATTTCCCATAAACCCGAACACAACATACAACGTTTGCTTCTTCTTGGTTTTTTTTTTTTTTGTTTTTTTTTTTTCAAAATCCACCCATACACGAACACTGACGTGCTTTTTTCAAACCCACATTGAGAAACATGACAGTATGTTATTTTTTTTGTCTGTTTTTTTTGTTTTGTTTTGTTTGTGTTTTTTTTTTTTTTTTTTTTATCTTTTCTTCTGTTTTTTCTTTTTCTTCATCAAGGACAGATTATGTACATACAGATGTTATATACCACTGACATACCCAGTGGGATGCTGACATGGACAGGTATATGAGTGAGAAACAGAAAGAAAGCAGCATGAAAGAAAGAGATAGTGAGTGCATGGAAAGGCGTTTGAGACAGAAAACAAAGCACTGACCAAGCTACCTGCTTTTGTGCTTGAAATATGAATCCATCATTATTTTTGGAGCAACAAGGTGCATGCACAAACAGTGTGCGGTCAGTCACACGGGACAACCCGACTACATCGCAGAGGGCAAGACTCTTTGAGTACAACATGTAGTGTTTTAAATTAAGGGCCATTTAAACAAAGCTTCACAATCATTGCAGAGTACTGTACACAGTAAAAGTACAACAATAGACTTATTTGATATATCTCGTTAATGGCAGATATTACACCACAGCTTTAACCATATCTGATACCTCTTGCACAGTAGAGTTAGGGGGTTATTGCTGGTTTCAAACAAAATCAAACAAAACACATTCAGACAACTGATTCAGTACTGAGTAATTCCCCTTTAAGGTCGCAGTAGTCAGGGTTCAGCCGGGGTAAACTCATCTCTCGGTGCAGGCTCGTTATGGCAAATTTGCATATAGTCGCTGCATGTGAGTGGAACAGTGTTTCAGGGGAGAAACGAGCGCCACGCATTGAAATACGGGCTTACCTCCCGCTGTTTGTGCTGTACAGGGGAAGTGGCTGGATAATTGTGCCATGCGGGGTTTTGTAGTGCCCATGCCTGCATGTCACAGGTACACAATGGAGGGAGAACTGGTGCACCAGGGCGAGGTTGTCCTTGAAGAGGATTCCTGTCAGAGGCAGGATTGAGCTTGATTTATGGGGGCCATCACTGGCTGGCAGGAGGGACAGGTGGAGCCCGGGCTCCTTCACTTAGCCAGCCACAGGTAATGGCTAATTACATCTTTATCTCCCCGCGGTCTGGCCGAACAAGAACTGACTTACAGCCATGACCAGAGACTGACATGGATCCAAATCATTTATCTAGCTGGTCGGAGATAGACACACTATGATAAGTGGATAAATATGCTGTAAATGTGTGTGTGATGCAGTTAACAGCATGACAAAAAAAAAAAAGAAAAAAAAGAAGTCCAATACATAAACTGTTACAAATTATAAATTACATCATCATTCACTGCTTCTGGACTCGGATGAAATAATCCCTCAGACTGTTTCAAATGTGTTTTTAAAAAGCTTGTCATGGCAAAATAGAGCACATCACTTTGAAAACTTTACATCTTTTTTTTTGTTTGTTTTTTCATTGTAGTCGTTCAATGTGTGTGACTTCTGAGAGTAAAGTACAAAAATTATTTTTCCAACGCACGGCTCATTACCATCGGATTTTGTTCATTTTTTTTTTTCTCACATGGAATTACTATTCATAGTTATTCAAATACTTATTAACATCATCATCGGTAGTATTATTAACACCAAAAAAGTAAAAGCAGGTAACCTTGCAGAGTAAAACAGACACAGTGCAGGGAGGGAGGGAGGGGAGGGAGGGAGTGTAGGGAGTATGGTATCACAACAGGAACATCTCTAACCGGTACATGCTATCAACAAGCGACACAGAGGATGGAGCTGCAGCTTTGAAACAGAAGATATTGTTGCCACGGGACAGTCTCTTGCTGCTTCAGAAGACTGGAGCATAGTCGAGGCCGATGGGAGATGTCGTTCGGCGACAGGCAACTTGAGGTCACCGGCGTGGCCTCTGTACTGCATATATTTACACTGGGAGAGGACGGGGGGGGGGGGGGGGGGGGGGGGGGGGGGCGTGACACGGAGCAGAGAACACTATAGCAATGCCAAGGGCGACTAGAGACAGCACGTTGAACAGAGGGGCAGGGGTAGTTAAAAAGGTTTGGGTAGTGAGGGGGTCTACATGCGAAACCTTGATATAAACCCCCCCAAATTACATAAAGGGGTAGTTAAGACTGACGCCGTCACCACCCACCCTTTTTTTTTTTATACATTTTGACATCATTCATAGCAGCTTCACTGCTACACAGTTAAAATCAAAAAGCCATACATGTTGGGTGTAGGTGCGTGTATGTGTGTGATCAAAGGGTGACACTTCACATGGCCACCAATCGGACTCGGATTTTTCAACAGGTCACATGACCGCTAGTACCACATTATTATTTCCATAAATATCCACCATAACATTGTGATTTCATGTATAATTTCCATAAGGCAAACATTGTAGGTCAGTCATTAGTCTATGTAGTATATTACATAAATGATCGTCCATTTGTTAGATTATCTATTTTCTCATTGATCACCGACACAATAATCATTAATATACACTCTCTATCAGCATCAGCCTAGTGGTAATAATGAGGAGATAACAGGGTGAGGAGGGAAGTACCAAGTCAGACAAATCTGCAAGGCATTCTGGGAGACAAAGAAAGAGACAGACTGTGTGTGTGAGAGCGAGAAAGAGAGGAAGAGATAATGACAATGAGTTGACCTCAAAATTGAATTGAGGGTGCTGGGGTTTAGGGGGGGGGGGGGGCGGCGGCGGCGTGTGGGTTGGGGTGGGGTGGTGATGTGGCGTGTGGTTTGATGCAATGACTCAATGCTTCCTGGAATAAATGCATATTCTTTTTGTTCACAGTGATGGGTTCGTAATAAAGATTTCATTTCCTTCTTCCTTCCGTAGAGGGGGGTGTTGGTGGTGGGGAGGGAAGGGGAGGGAGGGGGGAGGGAGGGAGAGAACGGGGAGGGTGGGGGGATTTCAGGGACTTTAAGGGACAAATCCAGATGGAGCTCGATCTTTACACCTTCACCAGAAAAGCAGCAGAGAGGGAAACCCAAACACACACGCCGACACTCATCCCGGCGTGTAAACCGGACCCTCGCCCCTGTATGGCCCCCGGTCCTGGATGAACAGAGGGAACAAAATGAGAGAAGAGGAGAGAAATATGTAAAGTTTCACTGCTGGATGTAAAGGTTCTCTGCTTGTGATTTTAAACATTACAATTAATGAACCAAATGTATTATGATAACTTGGCATAATTACTGTTTGCCTATTTTTTTTTACACTAATGATATAATGTCTCTAAAAATTAGAACTACATTTCACATAATCCAAGTTTTACACTCATTCCACCACCTGAAATAGTTTCGTTAAGTGTTGATGTTTTGGAGGGGTGCTTTCAATATCCATAAACGATCATTTTGCACTTAGAACGAGCACAATGTGGTTGGGGAGTGACTTATGTTCAAGTTTTGGTCGTGGTTAATCTCTCCTACTTATGTTACAAAGCCATTAAATGCTGTAGTGATAACCTGAGAATGGTCCACTAGAAAGCAAAAACAGAAGTCAATATTATCTTATGCAATATGAATCATATATCATCAGAAATATCACATTTAGGATGCAAAGTTAAATCACGACTGAAAATTGGACTCGTCTACAGTGAATAATGTAAAGTGAAAGCCAGTGCAAGCTGCCAGTGGTCTCAGAAATGGGCTCACTGGTTGAGGGTAATTACAATAATGTGCCAATTTTGATGCGATAGCGGGTTGTTGATGTTAAAAGGCTACATGTGGCACTTTTAAAATGGTGAACAAAGAGGCCCAAAGGCAGGGAAACAAAGTCGGGGGAGGCAATGACAGTGAGGGACAGCGTATGAATAGAAATGCCACAAAAGTATCCGATTATGGTCGGATTTTCCGTGGCCGGACCAGAACAGAAATGGGTTTGTTGTGTTCTAACGATGGCAGTAGCAGATTAGGAAGGAAAGAGGAGGCAGAAGGACAGATGATGGAGAGATAGGCTGACAGAAGTGGCAGCGCTGGTGGAAAAGGAGAGCAGGAAGATGTATGGGTCTGACGGGAGAGTGAGTCATTGAAGGGAGACTGGCCGAGATAATGGGTAAAGGAATGAAAGAAGAAAGGGGATAGATGAAGGACTCACTTAAGATGGTAATGCTGAATGCACTAAAGGAGGGAGGGGGGAGGGAGGGGTGTTGCTGGGAAATGGGAAATCGCTCATTGGGGACGGTTAAACGGTTAATGTGAATTGGGCTCGGAGAGAAATGACAACTTCTTGGGTAACGGGACAGAGCAGGGATACAGTCTGTGTGTGTGTGTGTGTGTGTGTGTGTGCAGGAATGTGTACGGACGAGAGATGGAGGGTGAGAGCGTGAACGAATGAGAGAGAGAGAGAGAGAGAGAGAGAGATGGTAATATAGGCAAGCAAAGCTTTAATGGGGCGGAGAATAAGGAAAATGGGAAGAAGGAGGGAGAAGAGAGCTGAGAAAATGCTGTGCTGTGTGCAGAGCAAAAATGAGATAGGGCGAAGAGGGAAAAACAGTGTGTCATTGCATATGTATCGTTCTGTGGTAGCGTGTCATGTCTGTTCAAACTCTTGCACGTTGATTGATAGTCACATGAGATAAATTTGAGCGTTCTTATGTATTTGTGAAAGCTTGGCTTGGCAGACATGTGCACCCTCGCTGTCGTCATGTTTGTGTGTGTGTGTGTGTGTGTGTGTGCGTGTGCGTGTGCGTGCGTGTGTGTGCACCTGAACGTCGTTCTCTGTGTGATAACTTACGAAACAGCAGCATGCTGGCGTTGGAAGCACCCAGACGGTTTGAGGCAAAGCAGGTGTAGTTGCCAAAGTGTTTCTCTGTCACATTGCTGAACAGCAACAGCGAGCGCGTCTTCTCGTTTTTGATCGTCAGGGTGTTGTCACTCTCTACCGGCCTGGGTGGCAGTGGTGGGGAAGCGAAAGCGGAGGAAGGAAGTGGGAAGAAAAAGAGAAAAAGAGTGTGACAGAAAAAGAGGTAACACAACATAACATCACGCCTAGTGACTCAGCCCTCATAAGAAGCTTTTTTTTCTCCGTCTCTCCAGAGACAACCATGCAACGCAGTCCCCCTCCACACATCGGCTCTGTCGCACCTTGTGCTAATAGTGAAATCTAACAGTCCATAAATAACAGAGACCTCCTGCTAGGGCCCATTATACTCTATTAACAGCTCTCTCTGGCTGGCAAAGGCTTGTCTAAGTACTTCTGCGTCTTGCTTTGCCTCATGCCAAATCACCCTGACTCTTCTATGCTCTCCGGGACCTTTTATAAACTTGTAAGGACAGTCTATGTAGAGGTAATAAAGAGAAAATCGGTTTCCAACAAGTTAATCTTCCTCCAGAGATGGCAAAAACATACACGATTATCTCAGACCTGTTCTAATGTCAGAGGCAACCAAGGCTACAACCACAGTACGCTAGAAAAAAATTTGAAAATGCTATTTATCTGTGAAAATGACATGGTTTTCGGGTCTTTTTTTTTTTTTTAATAAAGACCTCTGTCCATGCTGAAATGCCAAAACAATAATCTTTTCTCCATCCTCTTTCGGTTGGCAAACATCAAATTGTGCATCACAACCAACATCTGTGAAGGGGGATGGATAGAGCCCGCTTACTTTTCTGAATCTCAGCTGGTTAAACGTCTGTTTTTGTCTCCGTTATTACCCATTTTGTGGTTAACTACGGCTGCTCTCACAATGTATTTGTTCCCATTAATGTATTTTGTCTGGGACTGTTGTCAGACAATTTTATTGGTAGAAACCAGGCACACTGTTATTCCTCTGCTGCTGCACCGAGATGTCGACCCATCAATGTCAATGTCACAAAGCAAAAATACAGGTTAACGACGACAGCTATGTTGATATTTAAAAAAAATTAGTGCTCACACACGAGCACCGTCGACAGTAAAATGCAAGGTTAGTGTTTTGGTGTTGACATTTTTCCAAAAGCTCCATTTTAGGTGTAAAAACATATCTTTACTGTGGACCAAGGACCATGGAGAGAAAAACAACATTCGGTTTTGCTGGCTTTGTTGTTGTCTCACCTATGATCGTCTCTGTACCACTCGAAGGAGGCCGGCGGGACAGCCATGGCTTCACAGCGCAAGATGGCTGTCTTACCCAAATGGGCTGGCATGTTCTTCATGTCTGTGATCATGGGAGGGTCTGGCAGGGAAACCAAGGGAGGAAAAGAACGGACAAACAGAAGGAGGGAATTCAGCAATTAGTATACATCTGCCTTCGCTGGGAAGTGGAGTCAGGTCAGCCCAGGGTGGCCCGCAAGGTTGAAAAACCCCCCAGGAGAAGAAAATTAAGATGTATGAATTCATACATAATAATGCATCTACAGTATTTACATATACCATTAATACATCATTGCGCTACAACCCGGGTGTTGAGTTGAATTATCACCGCTGGGCTACTGTGAGATACTTACAGTTGACTGTGACCTTGACCTTGCGCTGATCGGGCGGAGCCACTCCGTTGTTGGTGATGCATTCATAGTCCTCGGCCTGTTGCCTCTTGATCTCTGTGATGTCTAGAAATTCCCCCTCACTCACCAACCCATCTATTGACATGAGGTAAGATGTCAAAGGTCACTATATATCAAATGGAAGGTGACTCTGGCTACTGATTTAAGGTTTATCACTTGAGATGCGGCTGTGGGTTGGCTGGTTCTTACAGGTGATTTATGAGCATGGGGGAGACGCCGGTGTATATATCAGACAACAACATATGAAGCACTTTTAAATGGTATTTTGGAACATTTCTCCAGCAGCGACATACAGTGGGGCTGGGTGACGTGGTGGAAATCAATATCATGATATTCATGAATGAAATTGATCACAATGCAAGATCCCATATAAATAAAATGCAAATCGTTTAATGCAACTAACTGTGCAATGAGCTGTCAGACAAAACTCTAGATTAAATTACTATTTGCTGCTGGGAATCGTTAACTTGGAAACCATAAAACAACAGCATGATATTAATAAGAATACAATTTGACAAAAAAAATGATGATGCTGAATTATTTCTAAGTCTTAATGAAACATCTGTTAACAAGAATTTCAATCGTATTTGTCTCACGATCGGAGCTAAGGGCCTCGGGATGGCTCGTTCAGAACAGTAATGGGTCAGTTGGCGAATGATACAAAGTAAATAAACATGGTTTGGCAGCGGTGACACCATTACTTTTACAGTGTCAGGGGAAATTGCAAGCTTTGCTTCCAAGCAGTGGACACACCAGGGGGGTGACAGCTTGTTCACTACATTATATAGTGAGAAGAATATTTGGCTGTTATTTGATGTTGACAAACTCCCAGGTGCCTCCAAAACCGAATTAGTCAGTCTCGCACTTTCACTCTTTTTCCTCGGGCGACAAACAGCCACAGACTCTCTTCAGAGGGGGAGAGTTGAATGGACGAGCTACAAGTTATTGCTCCTTCATGTGAGGGAATGGATGTTGGTGGTGTTATTGGATTGACGGTGGCAGAGCAGGAACAGAGAAAGAATGAAAGTGAGAGTGCACCCCCCCTCAAACCCCCCTGCCCCCCACCCCACCCCACCCCACCCCTCCCTCCCTGCAAGTCTTAGCAGCCAGCTGTCTCACAGACTCCAAAACCATTAGGCCTTTTTTTTTTCTCTCCCCTTTACCCCATTAAAGAAGTCAGACTGTGGAACACGACATAATATATAATCTCACCACTAACAAGGAAATCCAGCTCTTAAATTGCTGCTCACTTTTCCCTCTCAAAGCGCAGCGCACCCCCCCCCCCCCCCCCCCCCCCCCCCCCCCCCCAAACACACACACAACCACTGTCAATCAGTGGACCCTTTACTTCTCCTCACAAACACACAAACGTCTCCTAAGCACATTTGTGAGAAACACCGACGCAAACACACACACAAAAAAGAAGCTAAACGCCACGATTATTCCTGTCAGAGATTAGCGCGGCGGTTCTAATTGAAGATTATACTGGAGGATTATTAGTGCGGCTACTGAGCTGGAGACGATTATTTGCAGCTGCTGCGGCAGAGACTGAGCAGTGAGCGACAACCGCGGTGATGGCTGCTTGTGCCATCCGAGCGAGTACGGGCGGGCACTGGGTGATGGGGTGGGGTGGGTGCAGCAGTGTTATTCACTCATTCCATTAGTCTAATAAATATAGCTCTCTTGTGACATCTCTGTCAAGCAGGCAGAACACCCAACTTTGCCAGAGGGGGGAGAAGCTGCGGCGGCATAGAGGGGAAAAGGGGGGGAAACGATAGAATCAGACAACCAGTGCTGGAGAAATTACACACAAGGCTGTTACACCTGACTTCCTGGAAATAAAAAGGACAAAGAAAATAAAAAATGAGAGCAATCAGGCGCTAGAGAGCGCATTACAGACAGACAGAGAGTGGCAATTTGCGAGAGATACTGAGCAAGAGACTGAAAGAGATACACAGATATAAAGATAGAGGAAAAAGAGAGAAAGAGCAACAGAAAGAGGTAAACGGTGAGGGATGTCGAGTTTGGTATTTGATGTGGTTGCTCCTTTCACGGACTTCTCATTCCCAGCACCTACAGTATGTGTGATGTAATATGACAGTGCAAAGAAGCCCTCTAACTCACCCTTTCTTTCCCTCCCTCTCCGTCCCCTGAGATCTCTGGACCTGCATCGCACACTTCTCTCCACTTTGGTGGGAGATCATATCTGACTGCAGCCGGCCCCTGGCACTCCTACAATGGTCTGTAAAATACAGCTCCATCAACCACTTATGGCTTTTGAAGGAGCCTGACTCCTGACCACCAGAGATAGTTGGATTGCACCTGAGAAGAGGGGGGGGTTGTGTGAATGAGAAGGGGGGAAAATGGATCAGGGGCTCTGGCCTGCCCTACAGTGAAACTGTGCTCTATTTCCCTGGCAGCACTTTGAGCCCGACTAGATCATCAGGGCACTTGATTTCTCGGCTCCTCTTATCCATTTCCATTACAAAAACTACCGTCAAGGCAGAGAGGTCTGATAAAACGGATAAAACAGAGAAGGATGGACAGGCTGACAGACTGTAAAACCTGTCATTTGGAAGAGTAAGGGGCTGAAATGTGTTAGTTGAGCTAAATGAAGCTACAGCTGAATTTAAAACAGGAAGGCCACTTTGCCCTGGCATCTCTGCACACATGCCTAAAATTACTCCACAGCTTTCTATCTAAGTAGTTTATTCCACATTCTTCCCTCAGTTACATATCTGTTCTTTCTATTACAGTCTGATGGCAACAGGATTTTTGAGGCTGATAGATAAATGTCAATATTCTGTATTATATTTTCTTAGGATTAAAAAACAACCCACGAAAAGACTAATGTATTAATCCTCTGTGTGTGTCGCCTGCTTCCTCTGTCCAATAGACCTCCATTGTTGTCACTGTGGCACCGTGTGACACGTTCCTTCATTAACCTAAACATGTTCACTGTAGTTTATTCTCAGTCAATCCCACTGTCCTGTGGCTGTAAATACTCACTAATGTGTATTAATCCACATCTGAAAATAGTTCCCAACAATATTTACTCCTGTAATGATTGCTAAAGACTACAGTGCCCAGCTGTTTTGGGAAATTATTTAGCAGTTTCTTTGAATCAAACTGTATATTCAAGACCAGTTTTCAAAATCCATGTCTTCAGTGTGAACAAATGAGCTCAGGGCTGAGAGCCACAGGGCAGAGAAGTTGTGGGGAGATGCAGTGACGCGTTGTTGGTTTTGGTCTTTTCATGGTATTGTTAACAATAAGAAGAATTGCCAGCACTGACAGTTCACATACATAAACATTTTCTTACATGTGTTTATTAAAGAACTGCAGCCAAGACGTGAACTGAGCAGGACATTTTACGGCTGAAAAATATACTTGTCTCTGTCTGTGGTCTCTGCTGACTGGATGCATGCAGACTTTCCCTCCTTTCCAGTCACCTGATTTCCCAAATCCCCCTGCACACCTGCTCCTGAGTCCCACATCAAGCCACACCTGCGCCTCACCAACTTTACTCAGTATGTGTACCTGCCCACGTACACCAGCCCTCTGCAGCATTGTCTATTGTGCCTTCCTAGTTATAGATTTTGAGCCTCTGGTCCTCACTACCTGCCTCTTCATCAGTCCTCCTCGTTTCTGTTTTTTTCTCCTCCTGGATTTTTCTTTTTTCTTTTTGCTTCCACTCAATACTCGCTTATTGCAAGGAATCAAGTCCCAGTAAACCGTGTTTTAATCCTAGCCTCCACACCACAACTTCCAAATTATGTAACCAATGCCGAATATATATCAAGCCTGTATGGTTACCATCATAACACTGACTTATTTGTGTGCACCAAATGATCACTTTTCTTCCTCATCACCACAAGCATCCATTCATGCTTAGCCTGTGTGTGTTTTAATGGATGGGGTGTCAAATGATAAGGCTGTGATGTACCGGTGTATTTAACTGAATGAGACAGAATGCCTGTACGTCTCTTGAGTGGGTCAACTGATGGATGCCAGTGAAAGTGAATGAGTGCAACAAATTGTATCTGTGCTCTGGCAAAGATGAAGGCGGCGGCGCCTGCAAACACCAGCGCAGAGCGTCATCGCTATCTGCATGTTAAGAGAAGTTGCGGAGGAGTCGATTACTTTTTTCTTTCAGGTCTGTGTCTCACCTCTGGGGTGGTGCAAATAGCTCCTCCCACTCAACCACCAAATGATGCACACACACACACACACACACACAGAAATTTTCCACCCAACCTCCACATACACTCTTCTCCTCATCCCTTCTCCCCCTCCCTGCAGTTTCTCCATGCAGTCTCTGAGTAATGGGGACAGATGGCTGGCAGCTTCTTGCTGTTTCTTTGGGCTCGTCCACCCCATCCCCATCCCCACCCCTCCCCACCCCCTTCTCCACTGCCCCTGGTCTCCTGCAACTGATGGCTTGGTTGCAGAGACTCCCGTGGAATAGCAATGCGGCCCATATCTCTTTCTCTGCAAGCTGAGGGGTTATAGGGGGAGAGGGGAGAGGCGGTGTGAGATGGTGGGGGTGGAGAGGGAGGATTACTGCTGACGGAGGAGAAATTCTGTAGGCTTGCAAGGGAGGACAACTACACAGACTTTGTGATGTAAGGTTGTGTGTTTGCTGCAGCTGTGCGTTCATGCATGCTTTTCTTTTCTCCTCTATTTTTGCGTGTCTGTGTGTGTGTGTGTGTCTGTGATCGCTACCGGGCTTGTCCATGCCTGAGGTACTGTACTGCACTGTGTAGGTTCACAAACACTAACTGTGCAGAGAAGGACACTGCATGTACAGCAGGCTAACCCAGGGACAAACAGAGGAGAGAGGAGGAGGAGGGACAGACCTCTGAGCGAGCCCAAAGCCGTGTGTAAGTACAGCAGTACAGTAGCTTGTGTATTCATTGGCCTAACAGTATAATTACAGTGTATAGTTGTTCACACTGACCTATTTATTATTGCTGTCTCGCTGCCGCATGTGATCCGTGTTGCTGCTGCTGCTACAGTCAAGCTACAACTCAGCCAGTACTGTTGTGTGATCTAGAAAAGGGCTTTTACCATGACTTTGGTGACACTAGTGCAATAAAAGCCTCACAAAGAGACAATTATTTGACCTTCAAAACACCAGAAAAGTCTAAAACAATAATCCCTCAGATTCAAGTAAAAGCCAAGATATTTTGAAACTTTTTGGCACACACACGTTAAAAGAATACATCAGTGTCTGTATTTCACCCACTGGGGTGGAGCTCCTGAGGTTGCAGTTCCACTTCCAAAAAAGAGAGACAGTAGACAGACAGCAGCAACATTCTTGGCCTAAAGTCTAATAATTACAGTAGCAAAATGCACTCTGGAATATTAAGTCACAACACAGGGAATGGTATATTCAGCACAAAGCAATTTTCCTTATGTGCCAAAACAGATGATACAGCAGTACCAATACAGCTGTAATAAACCCTAAAACCGTACAATCTCTAGAGGCCACGTAACGGTTATTTGCCTGACTTTGGACATTAGTGGTGACAAAGCTGTTGGCAGATAGGGAATAAATGCTGACCAAATCAAATGGATATGACTTCTATCAAGCTGCGCACCCTGACCACCCTGATCTAGTGCTGATTCCACACGCCGACCGAAGACAAAAACAGCTGATTTGATGCCAAAAGCGGCTGTTAGCGTCAGTCGGCATTGTGATGCCAGGTTGACGTGGTGGATGAAGACAGATGCCGATGATTACGGGTGGCGCGGTGGGGATAATTACGTATAATGTGCGGTTATTTGGGACAAAACATTGGGACATAGGGAAAATACAGCAGTATGAATTTAAGAAGGGGACAGGCTGAACAGCTGGGTTTAAGAATGATGACACAGGAATGGGGGATAAAGACATGGGCATGAGTTGAATGCTGATAAGCTTTTAGCCTGGAAGGGAAAAAAAAAAAAAAAAAGACTATAAAAGGCTGAACAGGGTTGGGGATGAATGTGAAGACGGGGAGATAAAGGTGAAGCTGCGAACAAGAGATCTCTGGATGTGAAGACACGCAAACAAGCAGGGGTAGCTTACATTTCTGGTCTTTCCAGGTGACAGTGGGCTCAGGCCGACCCACTGCCAGACAGTACAGGTTTACATTCTCCCCCTCGTTCACGGACACATTTTTTGAGATGTTGACGATTCTGGCCGGCACTGAAAAACAAGATCACACTGTTAAAAAATATGACCTCAAAATCCCCCTTTTTTATTTCACAGTGTAAATTCCTGCACATTGGACGGACAGGCAATCATCAGCTGATTAATGATCTGTGCCTGAGTGCTTAGTGCACTGTGCAACAATATGCTTGACCGTCTACTTAAAATGCACTGAATTCTAAAATGGGCATTAAAATCTCCTCCTGACGTCTAATCTAATTTGATCTTTAAAGAAAAGAGACATTTGTAAGTGGTAGTCATATTTTTTTTTTTTTAAATTCTGCTTTTAAATCGAAATGACCACCCCTGAATACTATTTTGCCCCAAACTCACAAAGAGTTGGAGCACTATGCATGTAGTTAGTTTGATAACAAGATGGCCCTTGAATTTAAATGGCCCATTATCATTGTTTTTAATGAGCTTGGCCCTGAGACAATTTTTGCGAAACATCTACCAAGGATCCTATTTTTCTCTATCTTGCTAGAGCTGAATACTTGCAGCAATGAAGCACAGATTGGAGTGGTGCTGAAGCTGCTCCTGCTTGATGCACTGACTTGAGGGTGTAATTATTTTGTGTGATGTCAAGCTAGGGCTGAAATTGCAGGCTACTTGGAATTAGGTGTATATGGTCATCTGTGCCAAGCCTCGGCCCCTGCAGACACAAGTGTTTGTTTGGCTGCGATGCAATGTGAAAACTCTGTTAGTGCACAGCGGACATTGTCTCTGCCACCTGTGAGCTGTGAGGCCTCGTGTTTTCATTCCAAGCAGAATGTACCTAATATATCCTGTTAAAAGTTTTCAGTTTCATGCTGCTGGTGATGTATGACTGCAATCTTCGGGGGTGGGGGGGTGGGGTGGGGTGGAGGGGGTCTGAGATCCATCCAGTGGGCAGTCCTGAGCCAATACATCATGTCACTCAGGATCAGTCGGACTCTCACTCACTTAGCTGCTGACTCGATGACTGAGCCCCAGTTTGTGGTTGTGCACTGTCAGTTATTTAGTTAGGCAGTTGGACAGCCCATTGTGTACCTCATTTCCTCCACCCACATCCTCATCCATCTGATCTGCCCAACTTTCTGTTTAACAGGTTAAACAGGTCACATGAAAATCATTGCACCTGACTTTCTGGCTATCTGTCACCTGTACCAGCTTGATTTCCTGTAGCCAGACACACACACACACACACACACATATATACGCTTAAGAAGCTGTCAAGACATAATCAAGTAATTACATCTTGATGTAACGATAAATACCAACCTTAAATACTCAAACATCAAACATTAACTCCTGAGTTGTCAGTCATACCTTTAAGCACGATTTAACAGAAAAGGAACACTGAAACATAACCATAGAAAATCTTAATTACTTCCCCTGATGTCAAACCTCAATCACACCCAATAGACAGGACTATGCTTGGATGAATGATTCAATGTATAATTAAGCCATTTAGCGGATGTTTTTTTTTTTTTTTATCCAAAGCAGTTTACAGTACCATGAGCACACACATATTTTCCTTCCTTCCTTTTATTTTCTTTTGCAGCCACAGTGGCAATCAAATCTGCAGACTCTGGATATATTAGAGAAATGAGTCACGACTTGTACTGGATGCAGAAATTACTTCGCTCATAACTGATTCCTATTGCATCTCAACTCGGCAGCCAACCTTGGACGATGAGGTAGACGTGGGCGATGCGGGGCTTGTTGTTGGCCTGGAAGGTGCAGGTGTAGGGCCCCTCGTCGGTTACCTGCACCTTGTCGATGTGGATGGAGAAGTCGCTGTTGTTGCTGTTGACAAGCGTCACGCGCTTGTCCAACGACCACTTGTCCGTCCCCGTGAACAGGATGTTAGAGCGGTTCAGCCAGGCCTTGTGGGTCACCTCCTCGTCGATCCGGCATCTGTGAGAGGACGGGAGGTGATCGACAGGTGAGAGGCCTGGCCCTATGAGGTTAACATTGTTTTGACAGGGTCGATATTGTGGGTGTCAATGCTGCGCACTGTTATATTGTTGGTTGTTACATCATATAATTGCGTGGACTGGCTTGTAAATATATTTCATTACAGCAGGTAGCAGTTGGTACAGATATAGAAACGGGTGACATATTAAAGGAAGACCTGACATGTCTTGGTAAAGTGCTGAGCACCAGAACAGCATCAGTGCTCTTTAGAATACACTGTGCAAGTGTCTTGCAGTTTGCTGAAGGCATGGGTCACCATTCCCCTCAAAAATAACCCCTCTTTTGGTGTTTTGATAACAGTGGCACGCATGTTTTAACATTGGTCCGAATTTCCCCATTGGCGTTCAATTAGTTGGAAATATAGTTACTGCAAAGGCCATAGAATATGATTCACATCAATTTTCTTACTCATCAAACCATTTGGTAACCTTGTGCTCTGTATGTAAGCATCTGCAATTCATTACGTCTCTCCACTCATTTCATTTTTTCTCCCCAACGTTTCGTTCTTCGTCTGTCTGTAACCTCTCGGGTTACGCAGAACAAATGAGCAAAATTTTATGCATCGTTCAAAATGGGTCAAATTATAAAAATAGAGATCAGTCAGAGAAAAGTATCAACGGCTTGAATGCAATCACAGTCAGTTGCGTGTGAGGCAATCGTAACGTTCGTCTTTGTTTTGACTCCAGGATGACACTAAAAACTCAATGCAGTCCAAATGCATACGATATTGATATACATGTTATCTGGCCGTATGCCCAGAAGTGGCTGTGAACTCATGCTTAAAGTAAATAACGATAAATGGAGACATATATGGAAATAATGACAGGTACGGGGAAGGAAAATAACAGCGCTGCGGTGATTAAAGAGCAGTAAATCAATTTTTCCTGCTTCATAACAGGAGCCACTGGCCACAGGTGTGACTTCAGTTCTTGACTTGGCCACTAGATGTCCTTAGCTTCAACTAGTTTGAGGACATGCCTCTGTAGTCCTCATCTTTAATTGATATGACCTGGATAAATATCACTGTTGAGGAGGATCTTAGATCACCTGCCAAGTCAGTGGCAGTGACACCAGTGAACAAAGAGCCACAGCACAGGTAGGCGAAGCTTGGAAGTCTTTGGACAAACCGGCTACAAGTCACCGGGCTGATGGTTCAGGGTGACGCACGACCTGTGAGGCAAACCGCTGCAAACAGGTGAGGAAATAAAAGAAAAGAGGAAGAAGAAAACGTTCTTGATTAAGATTCAATTTGTGTCTGGGGGGTTTAAATAAAGAGACGATATAGTAAGAAATCCCACCATAAAAAAAATAAAAAAAATAAATAAAAATTCATTATCTGTGTACAAACGCTCGATTAATCTATTTTTAAAATTAATCACTTCTGTACTGATGATGTTGCTACAAGACTGCAAGCCCAGAGGAAATAAGCACCATAATAACATCAAATGTGCCTCGTCTTAATGGCCCGCATCAAAGCCAACACAACAGCATTGTCTCAAGCATAACAACAAGTACTTGTGCCACTTGGGCAAAAGTGATTTTACATGAAAATTGAGTTTTTTATGAAGCTCTTTAGCCTTTTGTTTGTCAGCTATTGGCTGTCCAGTGCAAATTAAACTTACACAAACATTTGATTACAAAATATGCAATCGCATTTCTGCTGATGAAACTATACAGGCAGTTCTGTGCAGTGAAATCTAATCTCAGAGCACTCAATGGTCTGCGAGTAGAATTTAAAGCAATGGTTCCCGATGGGGTCGGTACCCATCCTAAACACCAAGTCTAACAGGTTGTGAGATGGTTTATAGGAAAGCAGAATATCTAATTGTCTAATCTTTGTGGGTACAGCGTTTAAATTAAACAAAAACTGAAGGAATAATCAAACCTGAAGTGTCAGAACCTGTAGACTCATGCAGCTTGTGCAAATGGGTCACAACTAGACATTTTTTTTTGTTTTCAAGCAATGAAAAGCCAACAGAGCTGAACTACTCTAGATTACCTCTAAAAACGTTCTCTGCTCTGGTAAACCAGTGACTGTGGCACAATTGTTATATCCAGAAACGAGGAGGAGATGCTCAAAGTGCTTGCAATGCAGCACGACTGTAAAAGGAAGCAAAAGGTGACACTGAGATGTTTGCAGCCAGGTGCCTTCAATTTAGAGTTTTATGTGTAAAAACACCCAAAAGACATAGATTTAGATATAGATTTGACTTCTGTGCGACTTCAATCGAACAGCTTCAGGCTACATGTCTTGATATGACAGATCAGCTTTCTGGTTTTTTATGATTGCCAACTTTTAGAGAGATTTGTTGATGTTAACAAATATTGACAGAACTGTATTTGGCCTCAGAGTAACATATTTCATTTGAGTGGAAGACCCACTTTTCTTTCAAGAAGAAAAAAAAAAAAAGAGAGTAAAAGAGGAATTTGCTCAGAGATCTGGAGAGGTGTAGGCTTATAGGTGATGGAAGTAATGTTGACTCGGATTTCTTTTCCTTTTCATTTTTTTTTTTTTGCGCTGCTGTGTATACTGCAAAGTCGGGTCACATCCATGTGAGAGGGAAAAAGCAAGTTGGCTGTTTCAGTGCTTGCTTTGCGAGCTACAAATGGCAGCTGTGATTTCTACTTTATCAGTCACAGTTAGGCAGGTGTGGTTGGATGCAGAGGCGGTCCACCTGCCGAGCTGACCTGTTTATCATTACTGTTCCATCTAAGTAAAAAGAGAAGGTGATTGTAGACGGACTGGATGACTCCAGCGACATTTGACAGATATTATTATTATTATTATTATTATTATTATTATTTAATTAGTTATATGAAAAACAAAGCTGGAAAATATGGCACAATACGGGAGTTGTGTGACAGAGAATTGGCAATTAAACTGGGATGACAGGTGGGTGGGAAAAACAAACATGTTTTTGATGTAATTAGTAGGTGCAGGTGTAGGATCAAGAGTTACCTCAAAGTGACGCTTTCTCCTTCCAACACTGTAATGTTGTCCGGCAGGTATCCGAATTCCGCTCCGTGCACACTGGACCCTGCCAAGAAAAACAAGAAGAGACCAATGAGCATCCAGTAATGGCACCAAATGCTCCGCTGGTGTTCATCAATTTCAGGTCAGGCGCTTGAGGATAGACTACCTCACCAAATCATTTCGCGCAGGGATGTGCTCTGCATCCCGCCTACTTATTTCTGAAGGGAAAGTAATAAATATACTAAACAAAAGAGTCACAATGTCTGCACTGACCCCCACACTTGAATAATGATTTGGTTTTACCCTGCATTCTGGTGGGATGCGCGTTCATTGAACAGCACTGATAATGAGCCAAGGGAAGAGGATTCACGCGGAGCTGCCGGAGCGTGAAATGAAGGGACAGCAACGGTAACAGAAGGGATGCTCATCCTGCCTACCAATACACACACGCACACACTCACAGAACAGAGGCACATGCTTACAATAGCGCGCGCACACACACACACACAAGAAAGAGACCCACATCCGGAGAACCATTAGTTGAAGAGGAAATACAAACTTGGCATCTGTGAGGTGTGTTTGACACACTCGGGTGAGAAAAAAAAAACAACAACTTTAAAACAGTTTGAAGTCATTTTTGTGAACTTGCTTGGACTGCACACAAAGATAACCAAAGACCTTATATGCTGGCAGGGATATTGCCTACTGAGGCAAGTCGCTCCCCAGTAAGACGCCTGGCTCTGTCCATCCAAAATCTGACGCCAAATCACAGCACGACACCAGATACCTCAGCTTGTGTCCTCCCTCCATCTCCGACAATCTCTTTCTCCCTCTGTCTGTAAGATGACCTCAATATCTCAATACGTTTTTGCTGCGGTCTAGCCTTGAGGTTTAATAAATGGCGACTTTATGAAATGAAGCCGCTGCAGTCAGGAGCTAAGAAGCACCTCTGCGTTTGTTAAATCGCTGCACAAAGTCAAAGGCATGTTAAGCATGCCGAGTGGGAGACCGCTAAGAGATGAGACCCGAAATGACGGCAATGCACCAGTACACGGACTGGAAATGTGGGTTTTAAATCAAAGGAAGACGCGTGTTTTGATTACAAAGAATAATGAGAGAGGCTTCAGAATTATAATGCACATCATGGATTGCTAATCAAAAGGTTTTCAAACTGCATAGCAGAAAGTCCTGCAAAGTGCCAACTACACTAAATAATAATTTATCATCTCTTAAATAAAGACTAATTATGCCTTTTCTCTTTTTCTGTGTGTTTTTGAATGTAAGAAAGTGAGCTGGCGGATCTGTGTGGATATGCCACAGTTAATACAGGCTAATATCCATGCTTGCGTATTCATATATTCATGTGTGTATGATTATGTGTGTGCACCAGTGCATGTGTTGCTCATGGTTGTGTGCATAAGCAGGTGCGGCATCGAGGCATCTGTTGCTCATGGGTATGAATGTGTACGTTTGTTTGCTGACATACCGGCGCAGAGCAAGAAAAGAGGACAAACTAATGATGCCTCAAAAGAAAACTGGCCCTGGAAATCTCCCGCTAAAAGCTGTAATCGCATTAATGGGTGCTGCTGCTGCCACTGTTGCTGTGCTATCTAGGCCGGCCAAGGATCCCAGCACTGGCTCTGTCTCTCTCTCTCTCTCTCGAAGCCTTGGGGGAGGGGCGTAGCACATTTACCATTGTGTCCAATGTTCAAAAACTGTCACAAGCTTTCGTTTATCTGCGGTTTCTACAATAGAGTAATGTTGCACAGCATCGCTGTGCTCATGCTTCCTGTCTTAGACTCAGACAGTCCTCAGCTCAAGCCTTCAGCTGTTCCCTTTCAAGTGTTCTGTACTCTACACACTAGACTTTATTTAGGTTAATTCAATTCAGTTCCAGGGCTTGGGGCTTGGAGACGAGTGTGACATGCTGTCATAAATACACACTACCCCACATACGCAATTACAGACACACACATAGAGAAAAAATGCTCTATCACATAATGTAACCACTGGGACACACATGTGATGGACACACACACACACACACAAACACACATTTTGATTGAATGAATGATGTATGCATACGCTGAATGCTCCAACAGCATTGCGAAGGTTACAAACCAGCGGGGAGCTATTCCCATTTCCCTACTCAATTCCCATTTTCACAGCTCGATTGGCACCTCACATTCTAAAACCTGTATCACCCCGCCTCCACTCCCAGGCTCCGCACAACATGATAACCAGGTCAACACACCCAGCCCACACTTCCTCTCACACACACTGAACCACGGGACCAATCACACATGTGCGAGTTTACACACACTTATGCAAACACACTCATCACCGAGACAAACCTGGCTGAGACGAAGGTTATGACTGAGTTCATCGCGGCAGCGAACACAGCAAAGATTCACTTCACAGCCTCTGTGGAAAATACTAGTCGCACAAAGTCAAAATACACACAGAGAAATGCACACCGAACACAAATACACAGATGCATTCACTACTGTAAGACCTTTTCTGACCTCCATCACTCACGTTGAACGCTCAGCCCACAGTGAACCTTGTTGCTTTGACCTTTGCACAGCTCAACAGATCTCTGTATTGAGAGATGGCACACCATCTCCATCGGGACATGAAAGTGAACTCAGGACAGCGCTGAGGTTCACACTCACCCCCCCCCCCACTTCAATCCAAAACACTGCGTGAGAAGCACTGAAACATTACAATTTGTTTTACAGCTGGACTCCATTTTGTAATATCGAAAACCTATAGCAGACCGTGATACATAAACGGCCGGCCCTCTGGAGTGTCAACTGGCTATATGCCTAGAACTGGCTGTAGCTTTATAGTTAAGGTTGATGACAGTAAGAAGAAACTGCTGTGAAACCATGAGCAGCAGCCATCCCTAGAGTCATCCTGCTATCGAGTGACTAAAAACACAAACGGTGGTAGATACAGAGGATTCAGTGACGGCATATGATGCGTTTGTTTTCAGCTTCAATGCTAAATGAGAATTTTTTAGCCCAAATTTTAGCCCAAGCGAACACACCGTAATAAAAGTGTAATGTGTACAGCGGGGTCCAAAAGTGGTCTCAGAACGGTTATTGCCTGTGCAGATATGCAGGAATATAAAGTGCACCTCCGCAGCATCTCATTTATGGGCGAGTGGGAGTGTCGGGTGTAAAACAACACAATGTAAACATCATCTGGCTTAATGACAGCATGTCTGCCTCCCTTTGATGTGCTCCACATTATTTATCCTTTTTCAGGCAATTAATTCAAATCCAGCGAGCCAAACACAACGGACATGATCAAACAGAGCAATAATGAGTCCAGAGTGCAACCAGCAAAGTCCCGTCGCATGACCAATACAGAATCTTCAGACGTCACTTTCAATCTCCGGGCTACCTTTTTGGCTTTATTGAGACCTATCTCAACTCCTGCTTGTCTCTCTGCTCCCTCCCGGGGGCTCAACATGCCGACTGATGAACTGCACCCACCAGGATTCAGGAGTCTTGCCCACAGACACTCCACAAAGGAGGTTGCTTGCCAACGGGAAAGCTTAAACTAGCGGCTACCCTGCAGACTCTAAAGTGTGGAAACGCTGCTCGAGTATACAACTTCACTAAAAGACAAAAATGGATTCGTATAGGCGTGAGAAACCCTGAGCCTAAACGTAACACAACATAGAGACATGATGAATAACCATGCAGAGCAGTGCTGGTGGTGAACACTGCGGCGGCCCCAGGTGTTGGCGTGGCCACCGGCATATTGAATTTCGCTGCACACTGTTGTCTTTCACAGCTACAGTGTGTCCTGGCTACCGGTGTCTTGTCCTTCCTATGACCTGCTGTTCTGGCAAACGAATGGAACCCCCCACCACCATACCATACATGCACACACACACACACACACACACACACACTCGAATGCTGTCCAAATGACCCCCCTTCAGGCCTCTGTCTGTGCACAATATTGAGCCTCGGTTCTAAATCTGTCTGGCATTTTTAAGAGAATAAAACGTTATAGACATGCCTGTGGGATTACACACGGGGAAAACGCGGGGCTGACAGACCATTAATTCACCACCAATACTCTAGCTCTTCCTCTGCCTCTCAGTTCTGCTGCTCTCCACCCTGCAAAAGCAGAAATCTGTTTTGCTCATCTGTGAATAACACTTTATCTATTGTTTGCCCATAGGTAGACATTCACATAATTCCCTACACCAGCGGTCCGGTGTTTTTGTCTCTGTGCTCTCCTGCATTGTGTCTTTTGTCTGTGAAAAGCGTCGCAGGGCTGTTTGTTCAGTACCCATAAGACATCTATTATGTGATTTGTATTCTCTTGACTTTTACATGCGACTGTTTGTAATTACACTTGCCACTGGCAGACACTTATGAGCAGATCTTTATTGAGCTGTACAACTTTAGCCTGCGCAGTCCTTGCAAGGCTGTCTTTGTACTGTTCATCTATTTTGCATTGCCCTTGACGATCAAATAAACACACAGAGGAGAGAAAGCTGCTTCTGAAAACATGATTGGCGTCAAGACGGATAGTGGCAGAGGCTATAGCGAAACCCTAACAATAATCTGTTTTAACGGAGGCTACTGTGGTTTTGAATTTGAAAGGGGATGGAGAGAGGCGTAGTACAAGGCTGGAAGGGAGAGGTGAAAATAGATAGCCAGGGTGAGATGAGGGCCGGGAAAAGAAAAAGCTGTAGTGGAATTTGGAATTAGAGCCTGTTGTGGAGCAGGAGAAAGTAGAACAAGTACCAGGAGTGGTAGTTATATAGTTTTAGCAGAAGGAGTATTAAGCGATAAAAGCATTATCGGCTTTACTAGTCGCAGTTGGAGGAGGAGCGATAGAGTAGCATCGATATGAAGAGGAGAGAAAAGTGCAAGGACACAGTCAGTAACGCTGGGGCAGAGAGCAGAGCAAAGGAAAGACACACCCGCATAATTAACACCGGCATGCTGCAGCCAATTAAATATTTACAGAGGCACTTCCCTCCGACACCTTGATGATGAAGAGAGGCAGCCCAAGGATTATCAGATGCCGGGA